GATTAGGGCCCCTCCATAGCTGCTCCCGGGGCCCCTAATCTCCCGGGGGCCCCCTTAAACCCCCTCCTCATGTGCTCCCCAATGGTTTCACCCAGGTTTGTCGCCCATCCCCCCTTATGGCCACTTTCAGGTCTCCTCACAACTGTGTGTTTTTTTTTTGCTTTGGGTGGGGCAGTTAGGGCCCTCCTATACTGCTGCCAGGCCCCTAATCTGCCATGGGCCCCTTTCCCGCCTCTCATTGCTGCTGCCAAAGTCCAGATCTTCTGGGTCCTGTACGGCCTCCCTTGTGCTGTTCCATCCCCCACACCCCTTGGCTGTGCCACTTTAGGTTCCTAACATGCTGGTGTGTTAATTTTTTGCATAGGGTGTGGCAGATTGGGGCTCCATGCTGTGCAGGCCCTAATTCCCTGGCCCCCTTAAAACCCCCTTCATGCTGCTGCCAGGCCCCAGAGTTTCAGGGGGTCCCTGTACGGCCCCCCCCATTGTGCTGTCCCATCGCCACACTCGCCATGTCCCTTTTTTTTTCGGGTTCCTCACACTGTGGTGTTTTTTAATTTTTTGATAGGGTGTGCAGATTGGGGCCCTCCCATTTGCTGCCGGGCCCCCAAATTTCCCCCTGGGCCCCCTACCGCCCTCCTCATGTGTGACTTTTTGAAAAAAGGTGGAATTCAACCCTAATTGTTAGACCCCTTTACAAAACAAAAAAAGGCCCCATCACGTTTCCTGATGTTAAAAAGCGGTTTTAAAAGGCCCCCCTGTGTAACTTAGTGTCACCCATTGGCAGCTCATGGTGACCCCTGCGCTTGCTCAGGCCCTTTGGGAGGCCCGCTTTCTTTGAGTGGCAAGGACTATGGATGAAGAGTCATTCTTGTTGCAGTCTGGAACAAATGTGTTAACAAGGGCTGGTCGGGTGCGGTAGAGTGGCGACAGATCTCAACGCCAATGGCCCTGTGGGGGCAGGACGGAAGAAGGGGGGGTAGGGAGGACTTTGGTGCTCGGGGATTTATTGAGTGAAATGGGTGGTTTTTTCACTCAGCGGACGGATGTGGAGGAGCAGGAGCATATGGTTAGAGGAGGAGGAAAATAGGAGGACAGAGGACCCTAGAACGCACCGTTGGCGAGTATGCTGTGGAGTTGGATGGCAGGGAAGTCCCTCGCATTCCTGGGGCACAAATGGCCCATAGCATGTCGGTTGCTTGCGTGTAGCGTCAGCCCGGAATAATAACCATCAGTACAAGGAGGGATGAGCTTTTTGGCCTGTCCACCTTGTTTGGGACCCTCGCTTACGTTGCAAAAAATGGTGGCCTTACATTTCCACACATGCTGAGAGAGTGAGCGCCCACAAAATAACGTACATATAAAAAAAACACCTATGTAGTCAGTGGTCTCTGTCCTGTTCTGCGCCGATACGTCATCTCTCAGGACAATGGTCGGGACCTGTGCGCTCGTTTTTCCCGCTGCCCATGGCTGCTGGGGTAGAGGTGGTGGGGGTTGTAGGGAGCTGTGGACAGCTCCACCTGCAGCGGCTGCCTCAGTCTTGCAAGTCGGATGATGTGTAGCTTTCTTCACCAGCGCTGTGAGGAAACTTACTAACCAGCTCGGAGCGCGTGTTTAGTGCGGCAGGAGGTATTGCAACTCCGCGGAGGACACGACTGTCCACCCAAAGTGTGGAGAGACTCACGTTTGTGAAAATGAATCAGGCGTGGATTAGTCTGGATTTCAAACCACCAGTTCCTGACACAACTGACTAAATCCGCCATGAATCATGCCCCAAACATGTGCCACTTTCAGGTCTCCTCACACTGCTGGTGTGTTCCATTTTTTGTCATAGGGTGGCTGGCAGATTACGGGCCTCCCATAGCTGCTGCCAGGCCCCTAATCTGCCATGGGCCCCTATACCGCCTCTCATGCTGCTGCCAAGTCCAGAGTCTCTCATGGGTCCCTGTACGGCCTCCCATTGCTGCTGCCTCCATCGCCACACTCTGCCATGTGCCACTTTCAGGTCTCCTCACACTGCTGGTGTGTTCCATTTTTTGTCATAGGGTGCTGGCAGATTACGGGCCTCCCATAGCTGCTGCCAGGCCCCTAATCTGCCATGGGCCCCTATACCGCCTCCTCATGCTGCTGCCAGGTCCAGAGTCTCTCATGGGTCCCTGTACGGCCTCCCATTGCTGCTGTCTCCATCGCCACACTCTGCCATGTGCCACTTTCAGGTCTCCTCACACTGCTGGTGGGTTCCATTTTTTGTCATAGGGTGCTGGCAGATTACGGGCCTCCCATAGCTGCTGCCAGGCCCGTAATCTGCCATGGGCCCCCGTACCGACTCCTCATGCTGCTGCCAGGCCCGTAATCTGTCATGGGCCACTGTTGTCGCTTGTTGGCATATTCCGCTCGTTCAGATGCTCCTTCTCCTGCTACTCCTCTTCACGGATTCCGTCAGCAGTCTTTCTTGGAATCCGTTTCCAAGAGACAACAGTTTGCGAGCACGCACCCGACGGTGCAGAAGCTGAACGTCCTCCTGTCCAAGTTGCTGCTGCCAGGCTCGTAATCTGTCATGCGCCCCTGTACCGCCTCCTCATGCTGCTGCCAGGTCCAGAGTGTGTCATGGGCCCCCGTACCGACTCCTCATGCTGCTGCCAGGCCCGTAATCTGTCATGGGCCCCTGTACCGCCTCCCCATGCTGCTGCCAGGTCCAGAGTGTGTCATGGGTCCCTGTACGGCCTCCCATTGCTGCTGCCAGGCCCGTAATCTGCCATGGGCCCCTGTACCGACTCCTCATGCTGCTGCCAGGCCCGTAATCTGTCATGGGCCCCTGTACCGCCTCCTCATGCTGCTGCCAGGTCCAGAGTGTGTCATGGGTCCCTGTACGGCCTCCCATTGCTGCTGTCTCTATCGCCACACTCTGCCATGTGCCACTTTCAGGTCTCCTCACACTGCTGGTGGTTTCCATTTTTGTCATAGGGTGCTGTATGGCCTCCCATTGCTGCTGCCTCCACCGCCACACTGTGGCTCCACACTCTGGTTTTGGCCCCGTGACTGCCCAAATGAGTGAAGTGTGCGGTGATTCTAAGATCGACGGCACTCATCTGCATGTCATACTGACTGACAGTATTATTTCTCTTCCCCAGCAGACTCCAAGGGCATTTAAATTAAAGGTACAGTGTTCTGCACTAATATTAAGTCTCTCTGAAGCCTAGAAACACCCTTTTTTAAGTTAAATTCACAGCGAATTTATTCGACTCGAATCGAATATTGTCCACGAATTCGCCGAATCAGTCGAATCGAATTTTTCATTTCTTCGCTCATCTCTAGTTATTACGTCTCGATCTGCCTTCAAGATCTGCAATTTTTGTTTTTAACCAGATGTCAGTGTTCTTTTTCTTGAAATCCATCCACTAAGTCACAGTGGTCTCCCCTAAACTAAACTGTGGCCTGGGGGGGCAGATATGGCCCTTTGCTTGCCTTCATCTTGCCCTTCTAGCACTTTCTCTCCCACTGATGCATGTCTATTCTTCCCACTACACTAACAAAGGGGCATAACTACAGTTACTAACATCAACAATGCTCACTCACTATTTCTCCCATTGACGCTAACAATGAGGCACTATACCCTCCCCCCATCCCAATGCCAAAGATGCATTGTTTACTCCCACTAATGGCAGTACAATTTCTACTCCCAATGGCTACAGTCGGCCCCCTAAAGTCTGACAGTAAACTGGCCCTTTGTTTAGAAAGTTTGGACTAAGCTGTTATGTGCTTCTGCATATACACCCATTTTTCTTTCTACTAAGTCCACCCTTTCTTCCACTTGCTCAATGTGTTTTTGAAGTTTGGAAATATTTTTGTGCAGATCTTCTTGTATGTCATGTTTGAGAGATAGTAGCATCTCTTTGATAGTGTTAGCAGATGCCGGTGGATCTGAAGCAGGAAACTCTGCTAAAGTTTGTAGTGTTTCAGGATTGCAAACCATGTCTGTATCCCCATTGCTAGACATAAGCTTTTTACTCACCAGACCTTTGAATTTTGGAGAGGCAGCTGGAGAAAAAGCAGGGCACTTCTGTGAGATTTTATCCTCATTTTGCAGAGCTTGTGCAGAAGCTGCTGAATGCTGGTGACCAGGACCACTCTGGGAAGAGTGCTCCATATCTGATTCCTCTCTCCTCCTTTCGGGGCCGCCATGTTGCTTGCACCTGGGAAAAAATCTGTGAGCCTCTTGGGATGTGTGGAGCCCACCGATCGGCGGTTTAAAGGTGCTCCCTGTCATCCCAATTGTGAGAGGGAGCTGCGCTGGGTGTGTGTGTTGGCGCAGCTCTGCTGTAGCTGGATCCTGCCGGAGCTCCCTGTCTAGGAAGCCATACTGTCCCATGGCTAGGCTCTGCCCCTAGGATTATTGGATTTTTGCTGGAAGGTGATGTTTGGGCAAAAAATACTATAACTGGGGGGATTAGGAGGAGGAGAGCATTTGTTCTGGGCGGAGAGGATTTGTGCTTGAAACAGGGGATTTGGGGGGAAGTATGTGTGCTAAAATATGGGACAGTTTTGGGGTGATTTTTGCTAGGAGGTGGATTAGGGGGGAGAGGAATTATGCTGGGAAGGTCAAATTTCAGGGGACAATTTTTGGTGGAAAAATTTGGAAAAGGAAAGGCTTTGTGTTAGGAAGTGGAATTGGGGGGAAGGATAGGATTTGTGCTAAGAGGGGGAATTTGGGGAAAGATGATTTTTGCTTGGGGATTTAGGAATGGAATTAGTACTGAAGGCGTGATATTTACTAGGAGGGGTAATTTGGAGGGAAAGGATTTGTGCTAAGAGGGGGAAAACAGGTGGAGAAGGAGTTGTGCTGCTGAGAGCATTTTGGGACCTCAATTTTCAAATATACAGTTTATACCAAAGTTTGTAGACCCTATAACTTTCACACAAACCAACTAAACAAACAAGTATTGGGATTTTTTTTTTTTTACCAAAGACATGTAGCAGAATACATTTTGGCCTAAAATTAAAGTAGAGTTTTCAGTCGTTTTTGTGTTTTATTAAAAGTCAGCAGCTACAGAACCTGTTTTGCTGTTGTTCCCAGTTGCTTCCACTTTTTTACACTACCACTAACAGTTGACCGTGGAATATTTTGTAGCCAGGAAATGTCACGGATAGACCTATTGCACAGGTGACAACCTATCACGGTACCACACTTGAATTCACTGAGCTCCTGAGAGCGACCCATTCTTTCACAAAGGTTTGTACAAGCAATCTACAGTTGCAAGACAAAGTATGTGAACCCCTTGGGATTACATGGAGTTTTGCATGAATTGGGCATAAAATCTGCTCTGAACGTCATCTAAGTCACAACAATAGAAGAACACAGTCTGCTGAACATAATACTACACAAACATTAGATGTTGCCATGGTTTAATTGCACATAACATGTAAACATTCACAGTGCAGGGAGGAAAAAGTATGTGAACCTTTGGACTTAATAACTGGTTGACCCTCCTTTGGCAGCAATAACCTCAACCAAACGTTTCCTGTAGTTGCAGATCAGACCTGCACAACGATCTGGAGTAATTTTGGACCGCTCGTCTTCACAAAACTGTTTCAGTGTAGCAATATTCTTGGGATGTCTGGTGTGAATCGCTCTCTTAAGGTCATGCCACAGCATTTCAATTGGGTTGAGGTCAGGACTCTGGCTGGGCCACTCCAAAAGGCGTATTCTGTACTGTTGCAGCCATTGTTTTGTTGAATTACTTGTATGCTTTGGGTCATTGTCCTGTTGCATCACCCATCCCCTGCGGAGCTTCAGTTGGCGGACAGATGGTCGTACGTTTTCCTGCAAAATGTCTTGATAAACTCTGGAATTCATTTTCCCATCAATGACAACAATCCGTCCAGGCCCTGAGGCAGCAAAGCAGCCCCAAACCATGATGCTCCCTCCGCCATATTTTACAGTGGGGATGAGGTTTTGATGTTGGTGTGCGGTGCCTTTTTTTCTCCACACATAGTGTTTTGTGTGTTCTTCCCAAACAACTCAATCTTGGTTTCATCTGTCCACAGTATATTTTGCCAGTAGTGCTGTGGAACATCCAGGTGCTCTTTTGCAAACTTCAAACGTGCTGCAATATTCTTTTTGGACAGCAATGGCTTCCTCCGTGGTGTCCTCCCATGTACTCCATTCTTGTTTAATGTTTTCCTTATTGTCGATGTGTCAACAAAAATGTTAGCATGTGCCAGAGATTTCTGTAGGTCTTTAGCTGACACTCTGGGATTCTTCTTTACCTCATGCAGCATTCTGCGCTGTGCTCTTGCAGTCATTTTTACAGGACCACCGCGCCTAGGGAGAGTAGCAACAGTGCTAAACTTTCTCCATTTGTAGACAGTCTGTCTTACCGTGGACACATGAACATCAAGGCTTTTGGAGATACTTTTGTAACCCTTTCCAGCTTCATGCAAGGAGGTCTTCTGAGAGCTCTTTTCTGCGAGGCATGGTTCACATCAGACAGTGCTTCTTGAAATCAGTAAACACAAAGCCAAATGTGTTTTTTAAGGGCAGGACAGCTGTCAGCAACACATCCAATATCATCACACTGATTGGAGTCAAGGTTGGCTCACTCCTGGCTCCAATTAGCTCTGGGAGAAGTCATTAAGCTAGGACCTCACATACTTTTTCCTCCCTGCACTGTGAATGTTTACATGTTATGTGCAATTAAACCATGGCAACATCTAATGTTTGTGTAGTATTATGTTCAGCAGACTGTGTTTTTCTATTGTTGTGACTTAGATGACGTTCAGAGCACATTTTATGCCCAATTCATGCAAAACTCCACGTAATCCCAAGGGGTTCACATACTTTTTTTTGAAACTGTATTTGAAATAACCAGAGACACTGTTTATATTATGTATCCTCTGAATATTAACTTTCATGTTTGACTGTATTCCATCCTAATTCAATTGATTCAGGTGTTGCTAATGTCTGTTCTTTAAGAGATGTGCTATATAATGAATGTGGCTTTTTTAAATGAACTTTTTATTGATTTTCAAACATTTACAACAAGCAGGGTTACATAGAAACATGGTATGACAAACCGTGAGCAGCAAGAAAATAGAAAAACAGGCTCATCGATGAGAGGTACATAGATGCAAGAAAGTAGAAACTTGCGGTCCACCTTTACTCGTTATAGTTTAGAATTTGAGACACATTTTTTTGCAGATATTTGCCAATTGTGGATGGAGGTTTGGGTTTGAGAGACGAGGGTTAAATTTGTAGCTAGAAGAGTGATCAGTTTTGTAAAAATGTTATCTCCCATTATATTTCTCTCAAAATGAGGCCCATGACGGGTAGAATGAGCCTGACCGGTTTCGCTGGTTCCAAGCGGCTGCATCAGGCCTCTGATGTGGCCGGTTGGAGCCAGTTGAACCAGTCGGGCTTATTCATGGTCTCTAAACTCCAGACTACTATTATGGGGAACTGATAAGTATACACGAACTATGCATACATTTACCTGAAGTTGTCAGCTTGGAGAGCATTATGAGACAATCTTACTGAGTGGATGTCTTTAGACCTTGCATTGTTTCATTATCAAGAAACTTGATTTCAGTGGATGACTTTTTGGAAACATATAAACACATACACACACACACACAGCCCAGCTCTGCCCCCCCTCTGCTCACAGGTTTGATGGACAGCAGCAGGAGCCAATGGCTCCTGCTGCTGCCAAAGCTCCTGTTAGAAGAGGGAAGGGAAGAGAAGAGTAGTGCTCCTGCAGACAGGCAGAGAGTTGTAAATAGAGAGGGCGCTAAGGTAAATAATTAACAGGGGAGGTGGGGCTAGGGGGAGGTGACATTGAACAATTTTTCACCTTAATGCAGAGAATGCATTAAGATGAAAAATATTTTGCCTTTATAAACCACTTTAAGGCTTCATGTACACGAGCCTACCCGGACCGCCGACCACGGAAAAATGCAAATTGCCACAAAACTACAGCAGAATGCGGTAAACCACGGTACCACGATTTTGCTGCAGTTTTGCCATGGTTTGCATTTTTCCACGGTTGGCAGTCAAAACATTCCTATGTTCTTCTGCATTTAGGAGAGGGAGGTTTAACCTCACCTAAACGTGGCAGCTCCTAAGCTCTGCTAAAAGCTTATGTGTACATGGACATAGGTTATTATGGAGTGGAGTTTAGGAGCTTTGGCAAAAAAATGCCAAAGCTCCTAAACTCAAGTTTAGGGGCTGTTCATGTACATGGAGCCCTTAAGTAAAAAGTTTCTACTTTATAGTTATACCTTAAGTAAATACAAATTATCTTTCTAAATGTCAAATATTGAAAGAAAATAGTATAACAAAAATCACACATATATATAAATACACTTCTTCCACCAATAAAAAAGACAACATTGTAGAAGCCTAATCGTCTTGTCAATATATTGGCTTGCGTGTACATCCCGTACGGCAAGCAGATATAATGACAGATCTGCAGAAGACCTGCATGGCACCAGTGATCTGCTGATCGCTGGTGCATTGCTTTACAGACTCCTGCAGCCAAAAATAATAATTGCACATTTTTTTACCTGCAAAACTACTTTTGTGCAAAGAGTAAACTTATCCTTTAATGACTGAAATCGGGTTATAGCTTTGAAGTAATGTATATGATCGTTATTGGGCTTGGATAACCATTAGCCGCCCGGGCGATAGCCGTTTGGCGGCATCAAAAGCGCTTTAGCTTTCCGGGTGCACGCCATTTGGCGTGCTCCCGCACATGCGCAGTTCGCACGGTTGCAGAGCCGCGCAATCTGTCACCGGCCGTGTACCTCAGACACGGCCGATGACAGATCTGAGTACCGGCTCCCGTTGCCGGGTACCATGTGACCAATCACAGCAGGTCACATGACAGTTGTATACAATGGATGGCTTCATTCATGCCATCCATTGTATACTAGTGCCTAGCTGTGAATGGTCACAGCAGGTCACATGCACATGTCATGTGATTAGCTGTGGCCAAATCATAGCTAAGCACAAAAAAAAAAAAAAAAACAAAAAAAACAAAAACCTGAATGAATCGATTTCATTCAGGTGAATGCTTGCTTATAGCAAAGTAATTCTTTGCTATAAGCAAATTGTGTAAAAAAAAAAAAAAATACTGATCACTTCCCTAAAGTAGTACAATGTTACTATGGTAACATTGTACTACTTTGGTCATAGTAAAAAAAAATCTTAAAAAAATAAAAAAAAGTAATAAAAAATTAAAAATTAAAAAAAATATATATATTTTTTTTTCCATACTGTCACCAGTCAGTGTCCCTGTTCACCGCCATGCCAGTTATATGATGACGCTGTACTGCACTGGTGACAGTATGTAAAAAAAAATAGTGAAAATAATTTTTTTAATTTTTTCATTTTCCAAAAAATTATGACAAAAAAAATAAAACTTCAAAAAACTCGCCATTCCTCTTATGAAGTACGTTGGACTGTTACTTTGCAAAAAGGGGTCATTTGGGGGATATCTGTACTGTTCTGACATTCTTGGACCTCAAGAAATTAGATTGGCTGTCAGTACTTCAGGATTGATCAATATTCAGATCTATACCATAGTTTGTGAACTCTATAACTTTCCTACAGACTAAATAAATACATCCTAATTTGGGTTATTTTCACCAAAGTCATGTAGCAGAATACATTGTGGCCTAAATTTATGAAGAACAATTATTTATTTGTAAACTTTTATAACAGAAACAAAGAAAACGTGTTTTTTATTTCAAAATTTTTGGTCATTTTTTTTGTTAATTTAGTAAAAAATAAAAACCCCAGCGGTGATTAAATACCACCAAAAGAAAGCTATAGTTGTGTGAAGAAAATGATAAAATTTTAGTTTGGGTACAATGTTGTATGACCGCGCAATTGTCATTCAAAGTGTGAGAGCGCTGAAACGTGAAAAATGGCCTGGGCAGGAAGGGGTAAAATTGCCCGATATTGAAATGGTTAAACACATTGGCCAATAACATTTCATCAAAAAATTTATTTTCAGCTGTGTTTTTAGTGGTTTCTGGAGTTCAATTGTAAGTCTTTACTCCTGTTTGCTGATTAAATCTGAACATGTATAGGAAAAACAACAGTGGTGATAAGGATTGTACAAAGAGAACAGAACAACGGTAAAATAAACAGAGGAATTCCTGCATTTATTATTTATACGGATGGATTGCTTTAGTGCAGCAAATAATGCAAACAGTTACAGGTAAATATTAGTTATATTTCCTTGTTGGGTGTGACTATTGCAGATGGATGGCTGGCACAGCGGTCTGGAAAGCTATATAAACTGGCGATATCAGCATCCTCACACACAGGACTCGGCAGCAGGTAGAGAATCCCAGGATAATTCAAGGTAAAGATGACATATCTCACACTTAGTTCCAACATTAACTACATTTTTTAAATGGGAAATAATGCATTGTGTATTTTTTATATTTTTATTAAGAGCACTGATATTGGGGCTAAACAAGTGCTGTATAAGCTGTTCATGTAGAAAAATTTATATTTACTTAGATTAGTAAATTAGGTAAAGCTGTGTTCACCATATTACATGTAAGCGCAAATTTGAAAAAAAAACATTTTTTGTTCTTGTGCATGGGCTTCACCTTATTTACTAAGATAAGTAATCATACACTGTACTATGCTCTGTTCCTTTAGTAAATCAACCCCAATGGAAAGCAGCAGAAGGCAGATCATACAGTATCTATCCATCTATCCATCTATCTATCTATCTATCTATCTATCTATCTATCTATTATCTATCTGTCTGTCTGTCTGTCCATATTATCTGTCTGCCTGCCTGCCTGCCTGCCTGCCTGTCTGCCTGCCTGCCTGCCTGCCTGTCTGTCTGTCTGTCTGTCTGCCTGTCTTTCTGTCTGTCTGTCTGTCTGTCTATCTAACCATATTATCTATCTATCTATCTATCTATCTATCTATCTATCTATCTATCTATCTATCTATCTATCTATCTATCTATCTATCTATCTATCTATCTATCTTCTGCATTCTATTAGTTATACTGTGGTTATACTGGACCATTGCTTTTGCTGTTGGTTTTCAAGGACTTCTAGCTTCCTGCTAGTTGCTTGGAAAAAGCTGCCGCAAGGGGAACATGCACCAATTTAGACAATTTAGAAAAATACATAAATAAAAAAAAAGTAACCTTACAGTGGGTAGAGGTCCTTTTCATGAGGCTTCGAGGACAACTTTTAGGGCCATGGATAAGGGGGTACCACCAGTCCTCCTGTACAGGGCCCATGCCAGCAGGGGGTCCCAGGCAGCTGGATGAATCAGATGTTAGCAGGAAGGGTGATCAGTAGGGCAGGGGGGCAATCACTGGAACCGAGCCCCTGTATGGCTCTCTGCAGCAGCTGAAAGATGGCTTCTACTCTCCCTTCCGCTGGCTTTCAGCTGCTGCAGAGAGAGCCACACAGGGGTTTGGTTCCAGTAATTGCCCCGCCACACCCATCACCCTCCCTGTGCACCATACATTTCTCCCTGCTGCCCAGGCTCCCCTGTGTGCCCCAACCCTGCAGTAATGTCTGCTTCCCTCCTCTCCTTCCCAGCCACAGCTGCAAGCACACAATAGGATCCCTCAGAAGAGTGGGGGAAGCGTTTGGTAAATATGTCACATTAACCAGCCCCTTTCTTTCCTGAATGAGCACAATGAGTGATCAGTACTGTGTTCATTCATAACTGAAGCATAGTAAGCTACGCTTTTTTTTTTTGGGTGGCTGTATGGGTTTCTAACATCAGCTCTGGCAACATTGGAAATACACAAATCATTTAAATAACATGCTTGGGGCTGTATGTGGTGTTACAAAACAATTTTCACAGACAGTCACAGTAACAGGGAGTACTGAAAGGGTACATTGACAGCACATATTTGACTGTGGAAGAAATGTTTTAATTTTAAAATTAGCTTGGCTTATATACATCAGCAGCCCAGTCTGATTCATTTGAGATGGAAAAAAAAAACACTATTTTTAGGTTAGCTTTAGCAGTTACACATGGTTTTATCACACAGAAAGAATGGCAGATAGAAAAATGGCCAGTAGTTCACTATCCCCTTTCTGACAAATGCAAACCTTCCCAGCCACTGGCCAATTTCTTTCAGGCTGTCATCAATAATTAAAATACTGCAGATAATACAACAGTATAAAACTGGTCAGCAGCAGATCAGTTTTAAATGGCAAAGTTAGGCCTAAATTTACTAGAGACAAACAGCACAGACTGGGGCTTTACTTCAAGAAATAAGATACTGCAGAGTATACAGCAGTGTAAAACTGGCCAGCAGCAGAATAGTTTTAATCAGAGGCAATAAGTCTGTCAGTTGTATGACTAACTTTTGTATATCTCTGGGGCAGGGTGTGGGGGTGCGGTGAAATGTGAGTTATATAATGTTAAGTGGTTGAGGTGCACACTGTTCTTGCACATTCAAACACTGCAATGATGTGCTGCAAGCAAAAGACAGCTTGAGGAATAGATGAACAGTAAAAAGTGAATGTGCTGCTTTAACCTCCCTAACGGTATTCCCGAGTGTAGCTCGGGGTAAAATGTCAGTACCAAAAGTGGTAACCCCGAGCTACACTCGGGCTTACCATGTGGCGCTGCATAGGGAGTCCCTGCAGCGCTTACCTTGTCCTTCGCTCCCGCGATGTGTCCCCTGCAGCGTCCCCGGCCATCTCCTCCGGCCAATGCCGGCATCCGGCTTCTGTGTTCCGGTCCCTGTGACGTCAGGACGTACGGGCGGCGGCGGCGGCGGGAAATTTGAAAATTTTTTTAAAAAATGCCATTTTTTTCCAAACAAAATTTTACATAGTAAAAACATTGCTGTTTCAACCCATTTCACATACATTTTGTCCCGAGTGCTTTGTCCTGTGCCCTGCCTGCATTTTGTCTGTTCTTTCTGCCTGGAAACTGAGAAACGTCCATGGCGTCCAAAAAGTGTCCCTTTAGGTCAAAAGCGGTTTTAGACCAGCTAGAGAACAGTGATAGTAAATCAGAACCACTTGCAGAATTGAGTGATAATTATTCATGGGAAAATTTGTCATCAGACACTGAAAACGATTTTGCGACTTTGCTCAGCAATGTGCGAACTTGGCGCTATATTTAAAATTTCAGTGTTTTCGGTTTGATTATATTATTGAATTAAATGTATTATTATTATATTATTTTTTATGATTATTTATTAAATTATAATTTTAGATTTCGTGTTTCAAATTTTATCATACCCGGGATGTTTTACTAGACTCTTGTTCGGGACAGATTTCAGTGAGGTATTCCTAAGCTTAAAAAAGGCCCCATCAACAATAACAATCATTTAAAAAAAAACACGAAAGAAATAAGAACCCAAAATACAACCCCTAAAACAAAAGCCCATTTCTGAGAAGTCTTGAAGCAAAAAAAAAAAAAAAAAGAGCTAATGGATGACAGCTAAAAGTTGCAAATAAAATGAAAAGACAAAAAGCCCCCAATAATACAAACAAAAAGGCAGCAAAAGGGTTGATTGCCCAAAGAGCTAGCAATCAAAAATAAAGTACAATTTCCTAACTGCCCTAAACTCTTCCTGTGCATCTTGTAAGTTTTCCCTACAACAGCTTCTGATTCACTAACACTATGGCTGCTCTGGCCCCAGGGGCGGACTGACAACTCATGGGGTCCCCTGGCAATAAGAGATAATGGGGCCCCCTGTATCTCCGCTTACAATCAAGCCACACCCACACAACGCACCACCTACATATTGCAGCTCAGCTGCATAGAAAGGGAATTAAAAATTATATTAAAAATAATAAAATGTCATGGGGTCCCCCCTCCATTCATACCAAGCACTCCGGGTATGGTATGGGTTTTGGGGGGAACACCCATGCCAAAATAAAAAAAAAAATGGTGTGGGGGTTCCCCTAGGTTCCATACCAGACCCTTATCCGAGCATGTAGCCCGGCAGGTCAGGAAAGGGGGGGCAAGCGAGTGCCCCCCCCTCCTGAACCATACCAGGCCACATGCCCTCAACATTGGAGGGTGCTTTGGGGGTTCCCCCCCGAAAGCACCTTGTCCCCATGTAGATGGGGACAAGGGCCTCTTCCTCACAACCCTGGCCTGTGGTTGTCTGCAGGGCGCTTATCGGAATCTGGAAGCCCCCTTTAGCAAGGGGGCCCCCAGATCATGGCCCCCCCATGTGAATGAGTATGGGGTACATAGTGACAGTCTTTGTCAAGTCCTTTATTAAAAGAAGAAAAATATCCCTCGAAGTAGATTCAACATCTTCAGGTGGGGGTGCGGGAATCGTGATTGACATTGGATCTACTTCGGGGGGACATTCTTTTATTTTTCTTCTATACACTTGTGAAATACTGTCTCCTGTCTTTTTTCACACTTCACTTTTTTTTGTGAATGGGTAGCGGTACCATTTACCCCATATTCATTCACATGGGGTGGGAGCAGGATCTGGGGGCCCCATTGCTAAAGGGGGCTTCCAGATTCTAATAAGCCCCCTACCCGCAGAGCCCCACAACCACAGGCCAGGGTTTTGGGGAAGAGGCCCTTGATCCCATCAACATGGGGACATGGTGTCCCCCCTGCCCCAAAGCAACCCCCCATGTTGAGGGCATGTGGCCTAGTATGGTTCAGGAGGGGGGGGTGCCTGCTTGTCCCCTCCCCCTTTTCCTGACCTGCCGGACTGCATGCTCGTATAAGGGTCTGGTATGGATTTTGGGGGGACCCCCACACCATTTTTTTTTACATTTTGGCATGGGGGTTCCCCTCAAAATCCATACCAGACCCGAAGGGCTTGGTGTGGGTTGAGGGGGGACCCCAGGACGTTTTGTTAATTAGTTTTTTAATTACCGGCAACTCTTCTTTTACATTCAGCTGTCAGTGGGGAACCCCGCTGACATTTGTAACATTAAGGCATGTTTTTCACTACTAAAATACTGCATGACTCATATTCATGTGGTTTTTTTTTTTAAATGCTATGCCTTATCCTACCACATACTCGGATGCGGTAAGATACCACTTAGTGAATTGTGCCCAGTGAGCCTCTCACCCGGCCCCCTACTGACCCCGGGCCCTCAGGCAATGCCGAATGGTCAGTCCGCCCCTGCTGATCCCTTTTTCTAGTGAGGGGGTTGGCTTATCGAAAAACTTCCTTATTGGCCATTCTAAGCCTGCTGACCACAGATTAAAAGCCATACAGTGCATTATGGTTTAAAAAAAACTGGGAAAATCTGAACAAACATTTACCAGGATCAAAAATATCAAATGCACAGGATTTTCTTCAAACCCATGGTAGCAAAGAACCAAAACCTCCTCCATATCAAAGAGTAGACAAAAAATAAATTTGTTATTATGTCATCATATTCTTGTGATATACAATTTCATCTACCGTAATTATTTTTGTTTTTTTAGCTATCGCCAAAGATTCTGGATCTCAAGGATGATATTTCTGCGTGCAGCTGCCGTCTTGTGGATTGTCTGTGGTGTTACTGCATGTAAGAACTGTTTGTAAAGTGGCCTGAGATCTGATGATGATGATGTGAATAATAATAATAATAATAATTCCGAAGAACTTTTTTTTAATTAAAAAATTGCTAGGAATTACCTCTCCAAGCTTAATATAATTCCACCTTCCTTTTCTGTCCTGCACCATTAATTTTTCCACAAGATTGCATCATGGGCATTATCATTAAACCCACTTCCCATGGGCCCAGGCTATCTTGGACCAACCCCCAGGGGGGTACATTATCATGCAGGCTGGTCTCACAGTACTGCTGGAATGAGCAGCATTCAAACATCATATTATTAGTGCTGTTCAGTCCATATGGAGGGATCAATCACTGCTATCGCCTCTGGAAATGAGCAAGGACCTGTGAAGTCCCCAAAAAAGCCTAAAGACTTCTGGAAAGCAAGTACAGTATGTACAGGGCCTTTCAAATATAGAGACTGAGGGGGACCTTGTGGAGGAGATGGAGGGTAGGAGTTGACTAATATATTACACTTGAATATTATTTTTTTTTTACATACTAAATATATTTGTATCTTCTTTGTAATATTTTCCCATAGATGAAAATGTTGCCCTTGGGGGTCGAGCCACTCAGTCTTCAATTTTCCGGAGCCTGGGTGAAGGTTATCTGGTTGCAGCAATAAATGCAATAGATGGTAACCAGAACTCAGCCTTCTCCTATGGCTCCTTCCTGTTCATGTACCCATAATGACCTGTCTCCTTGGTGGAGAGTGGACCTGCTGAAACCTTATAGTGTTGCCTACATTACCATCACTAACAGAGGAGACTGCTGTGGTGAAAGACTGAGTGGCGCTGAAATCCTCGTTGGAAACTCTTTGAACGACAATGGAAATGACAATCCCAGGTAAAATTCAGTGGTACATTGTTGTATCTTTTTAACCTTTTTATGACTGACATATTCTATGCCTTCATGTCAGGAGTAGGCACAATCAAAAGGCTATAATTGACATGTGCGGTTCTTTTCGTTTTGAATTGAAATTCAGAAGACATTTTTGTTCGATGTATCTGAATTTCCGAATACAACAGTAACAAATTTGAATGCATCCAAGATAAACATTAATGTAGTAACGAAACTAATTCTTTTCAGTCAGATATTATTAAAACAAATTATTTGAATTAATTTGATAATAGCTGGCTGTTAAGAAGCAGGGTGGCCTATCGGCCATGGCATCCTTAACAGTCATGACTCATTTGCTGTCAGCTGGATTCCCCGCTGACAGAAGAATATAAACAAACAAGTGCCTGCATTAAAAAAAAACAAACAAACAAACAGCATGTGGTTTCCCCCCCAACTGATACCAGGCCCTTAAGGTCTGGTACACATTTTAAGGGGAACCCTACCTACACAAAAAAAAAAAAGGCATGGGGTTACCCCAAAAAATCATACCAGACCCTTATCCAAGTATGCAGTTGGCAGGTCAGGAAAGGGGGGGGGAAGCAAGCACAATATATTCAAACCAGGAGCAATTTATACATCTGGTGTCCATACTCACGTAATTAGTGTAGTCTCATGTAACTAAGAGCACCATTGAGAAGAACTTAGGTAGGTAAAAAGATCCCCACCAAAAAGTGGTTACTTCTAGAGACTAATGCCGCATATACCAGAACAATATTTATAAAAATGAAAACTGTATTGGATCATTTAAAAAGAAAAACTGAACAATTATATATAAACAAACAATGAAAAATAAGCAGTAACCAAAAACAACCAAAATCACCAATGCCCAGACAATGTTGTCTTCCCACTTCATAAAAATAGAACTCACAAGTGGCCAGTGCGAGATGGTAAACCAGGATGCAAAATACTCCGCTAGGCTGGAACCCAGGATTGTAGGGAAAAGACCCTTGTTCCCATCAACATGGAGACAAGGTGCTTTGGGGAGGGGAACCCTCCTGCCCCAAAGCACCTCCCTTTTCTTGACCTGCAGGGCTGCATGCTTGGATATTTTTTTACATTTTGGCATGTGGTTCCCCTTAAAATCCATAAGAGACCCAAAGCGCCTGGTTTGGATGGGGGGGGGGATTTTGCCATGGGGTTCCCCTTAAAGCCCAAACCAGACCCAAAGGGCCAGGTATGTAGTGGGGGGATCCTACACCATTTTTTTAAACAATTTCTTAATGCTTGCACTGGTTTTTTTTTATATTCTGTTGTCTGCGTAGATCTGAGAAGGAAGTTAAGCCCCCCTCTTTCCCCCTGGGACACATCAAAGATGCCAGAAAACTGTGGGATCATTCATGGGGTGCAGCACAGCTTGCGCATGCACAAGCTGTCACAGCCAGGTGCCCACAATTGAGATGATGGCACCAGAATCCGAAGCCAATTGAACAATTGGCTCGGGGGTGATGACATCGCTGATCGCTGGAGAGGTAAGTGTCCTTATATTAAAAGTCATTAGCTACTGTATTTGTAGCTACTGACTTTTAATTTTTTTGGAGGAGACTGGAGCTCCTCATTAATGGAGGAAATTACATCTACAGACCTGGAAAGCCCTGCATTGTTATCACTGCATGAATGATAAGAAAGATAGGACCCAAAATAAATTTTATGTGGTGTAACAGCTCAAGTAACACCAGAGAACAATGAAGAAAAAAAATTTGCCAACAAGTTTTGGGGACAGCAAATGAAATTAGAAGAATCTCCATGCAGTGATGTAATTCAGCATGGAGAGATGAAGGAGTCCACGATACTCCCAGGAGGAACCAGAAATCAGAACAAAAGGCAAAGACAGACATATAGAGAAAAACAAGATGATTCTCATCTACCTAAACGTTGCAGCTCCTTATCCGGAAAACCCATCCCATGGGCATCGATGGATGCATAATCGTGGAAAGAATGCATGGAAAAAAAACAATGGAGGTAGGTGAAAAAGGCAAAGGTGGAGGACCTGTAAAAATTAGAATTTGCTTAGGTTGAATGAATCCATGTGAACCACAAAACCATGGAAGCAGTGTGAATGGGTGAAAAAATTGGAAGTCAAGTGCACTATGGCAAAAGGGGCTCCCATAAGAATTCAAAATAATCAACTTCCCTTTTGATGTGCCGCCAGTTTTAGAACAACACAGCAGGATCCTCTGAACATCCTCCTCCAAGATACCACCAACTGAGTGTTTGTCCCTGGTGATAAGTTCACTAATTCTAAAGGAGCCAAAGGATGCCAAAGAAAAGGCAACTTGAAACAACTGAGGGCAAAATGGAGAGGATGTCATTTAAGATTTGCACAGAAACTGGAGCCAAGCATCAGGGAAGCGAGTCAACCATTTATCCTTAAAAACCCTAAGAATTACAGAATCCCTGGTGATGTCCTACCAATCAAATTGTCTGAACTGAATAATATAGAGAACAGAAAAAACGGAGCCACCTTCGAACCAGCCACAGCTTTATCTTGCAGATGGAGGAGGTATGAGGAAAGAACCAGGCACCTGTCCCGTGGGGAGGAACAGGAGAACTCACCACCAAATTATTACAACCATTTATCCCAAATTCACCAGTAGGTTACTCAAGGGCTTCGGTAAAGGGAGACACAGTGTGGGGGGGGGGTCTTGGCATCGGGAATGAGGGTCCACAAAAACATTGGGCAATGGAGACCCATGGGGGTGTGGGGTGTAAGCAGTTGAACGGTGAATGGGGAATGCAAATCAGCAATAGAATTAGCTACAGCTGGGACATGTTTAGCACAAAACCAAACATTCAGCTGTAGGCACCTGAACATCAGAAAACGCAATAGGGAGAACACAGGTGGACAGCGTGTGGAGAGGTGGATAACCACTTGTACCACACATATTATCCATCTGCATAACACCACTTGCTTGTTCCACAACTTCTCTCACCATCATTCTACTGACACTACATTAGGAAAGAGATCCAACAGCAACATGCTAAACAGAAAATCGAATTCGGCCTATGAGGCTGGTCAAGGTTCAGCAGACCATTCACCCTGGAAGAAAGTTCCAAAACCAAAGTTCCAGAACCACTGATACATCTGTGTAAAACTCTAGCTGTGAATTCAGCACTTCCTTCATTTGCCAACAAGAATGACCCTTATAGGTCTGCGGGAAGGACAACTCCACTTCAAAATCATTATGCATAAGTCTGGTAAGATGTACGTAATGTGGAAGCGATATACCTTTCATAGCCCAGGATAGACGCCTACAGAAGGTCCTGCCCATCGAAGTTCAGGACAAGTGAAAAACAAGGTGTCCCAAAGGGGGTAGAGGCCTCTGCAGCCAGAGCTAGCCCTTACAAATATAATCAAAAACAGAAGCTTAGACAATTTATCTGCAGGAAGTCAGAAGTAATCTTTACAGTGTCAATCCCAATGCCCAAAAAAGACAGAGCATGGGCAGGACCTTCTGTTTCACTGGCAGGCAATGGGATACCCTGTTGACAGCAAACCTCCTGGAATGAAGACAAGAGCTGTTGACAATGATCATTGTCTGCAGGACAAAAAATCATCCTAATAGTTGATATAGTTAGAAAATTGGTTACAGGAGCCGTGATGGTAAATAGAGTGTACTCAGACTGGTCAGGAGAGGTAAGTGGGGAACCCCAGGGCTCTGTCCTGGGACCAATTCTGTTTAATTTATTCATAAATAATATAGGAGGCTGGTATAGACAGCTCATTCTCAGTGTTTGCTGACAATACAAAGCTAAGTAGGGCAATAACTTCACAGTAGGATATAGAAACTTTGCAAGAAGACCTCAGTAAAAAAGGACTGAAGGTTAACATAACTTTGGAACACAGACATTAAAGCTGTATTAAACCCAAAACAAACAAATAGTATTTAGCAGCTTGCCAACTCTAAGATGGGTTGGCTGCACTAGTTTTTCCTTTATTTTCACCTAGTGATCCAGCCAGTGGCTCCGTTATTTTCAGCTTCATTTAACAGACTAATCTGTCCAGCAAAAGCGGTAGCTAGGGGATTGAGACAAACCATTTACCACAGACAGGGGTTTTACAATGATCAGCTTTTGAGGAAAAAAACTGTTCCTGTAACTGCTTAAATAGTGTTACCGGTAGCTGGAGTTTGGGTTTAATTTGTTAGTCAGGTCCATCTAAATCTGTTAGTACATCCAACATCACCCTCTCCCCAAAGAGACAATGCTGCTGTCCAAAGGTGTCTCTGTTGCTCCTCCATCCAGAGTGGAGACACCCTAAGACAGGAAGTGTGGTAGTGGCCAGATCAACAAATCTGACCAGATCAGTGGAAATAAACAAATAAAGCCTGGATAAAGGAAGCTAACCACATTTAAGGATTGGTGAGCTGCAATACATTATTTTTTTTTTTGGGGGGGGGGGGTAAATACACACTCACGATCCACACAACTTTCACCCAAAATTCACATTTTTTAATGGAGTCTTAGGTGAAAATGGGTCACTGGGTGAAACTTTTGTAAATCTTGGATGAAAATATTGATATATAAACCCCTAACGCTTCATGCACACTGGGGTTCTTCTAAACGCTTTTCTCCTGCAAAAAAGTTCAGTGTTTAGGTTCATTCAGGTGCATCAAGCGTAATTGAGTGTTCATTAGTTTCATTAGCCAGTATAATTTTTATTCTGGCCACTGAAATGAAAAACTCTTAAGTGCTAAATGCACCTAGCATTAATGCACATTTAGACGTGTTCACCCACGTTTAAGTGCATCAGGCATTTTTTTCTGCAAAATGCTCTTTTTTTGAATGTGATGGTTTTTTTCTCTGCCTCTAAACTCCTGTCAATGCCTATAGTGTGCATGGACAGATACTGTAGGTTAACATGGAAAAGACCTTAGAGGCGGAGAAAAAAAAGCTCAAAAGCCTGTAAAAACAGCGTGCATGAAGCCTAAATGTATTTAACAATGTATTTTTCTATTGTTTAGGAATTTTTCCTTTATTTTATTTTATATAAATGTATGTGTTTGTTAATCTCATTCATGATTGTATTTATGAACATTTCATTATTATTATTTTTTTTTTTTATAACTTACAATTTTTATGAAAAAGAGAAATTGTTTAATAAACCAAATAACATTTGCTACCACACTTTGGAAAATCTTACAAACGTCTGTTTTTTTCCAATATTATAATTGAAAAAATAATAGAAAGTAATCAAATCATGTGTTAATTCACAGAAACAAAATACAATTTCTCTAAAATATATATTTTTTTTAATCTTATATGGAGTGTACAGTTCTCTTGGCAGAAAGGAAATGGAAGCTGAGGGCAGGAATGTAGGGGAGTTGACTTTGATGTGGGGGGGTGGAAAAAATTATAGTAGGGTTAGATTGAGAGGTGATGTTGGAGGAGTTTGAAGGACCTGATAGTGGTGGGGGATAGAGAAGCTAATGGTTTTGGGGAGGGATTAGCGGAAACCAATAATAGTAAGATGGGACCCAGAATAAATAGGATTTGGTCTTAAGCAGGGAGGCTTATGTGAAGGATGTGATGGTATTTAATGGAAGCTTGAAATGAGTGCTGCGGGACATTTTGGAAAAAAGGTACAGCTCAGTAGAGTGAGTAAACCTAGAAGGAGAGCCAAAACATGAATGGGAAAGATGACTGCAGAGCATGGGAAGATAGACATTTTAAAGGAAACCAGATACACAGTCAGAAGAGAGTCAGATCAGAGAAGGAGACATTAGGATGATGGTGCACAGCTTCAGAAGTGTAACAATGAGTAGGATAACCAACAAAGGAGCAGCATAATACTGGGTAGAGCAGAGGTTATGAAGGTGGTGCATGCTTCCAGTGATTATAAAGCTGAATATGTGCAAGAACCCACCTCTTACATAATGATACTAATCAATAATTACTACATGTCTGCTTTATTAAATGAATAATTTTCATAACAAGGATGATAAAACTAACAATGATATTATTTAACAGGTGTGCAGTGGTGACCTCTGTTCCAACTGGAGGAACACAGACCTTTGGGTGTAACGGCATGGTTGGGCGTTATGTCAATATCATTTTAAGAGGAAAAAAGAGAATATCTTCAGCTGTGTGAAGTTCAGGTCTTTGCTGATCACGAATGCAGCAGTCTCAAATAAAGTTCTTCAGGCAGTAATAAAATTAATAATTTGCTGCTTTTAACCTTGGAAGACTATTTTGAGCCTTTAACTGGTAATTGTGCGATCATGCAATGTTGTACCCAATTTAAATATATATATATCATTTCTTTTTCACAGAATTAAAGCTTTCTTCTGGTGGTATTTGATTGCCACTGGATTTTCTATTTTTTGCGATTAAAAAATAAATTAAAAAAAAATATATTATCTATTTTCTGCTATAAAAGATATACAATAAAAGTTTTTAAAAAAAAATCTAATTTCTTTAGAATTTTTGACCAAAATATATTCTGCTACATTTCTTTTGGTAAACAAAAATCCAAATAAGTGTATATTGATTGGTTTGTGTGAAAGTTATAGTGTCTACAAATTACGGTATAGATATAGTGGGACTGCAATACTGCGGCTGGCAATTTGACATAAACTGATGGTGGGGGGGGGGGGGGGAGTGAGAACTGACTAACTGCCTCTGACATCTCCAGTGACACTAATACAATGATCATCTAGGGCGATCAAGGGGTTAAAATGTGTGCTTAACAATATTTAGTGTGTGTACTGTATGATGATTTTATTACGCAATGTGCTGGTTTTTACTCCCTGCTTTGCAGGGAGAAAAAAAGACACATCATTGCTGTCTGTTGAGAGCCCTATGTGTTGTTTACCATTTTAGCATTTGTATATACTTTTTCCTGTAAAGCAATACAAGCCAATATCATTTTAGTATTAATATTATCTGTTCAGTCAAACCAGTTAATTCATTCATATATGATTCTGAATGAAAGTTACAATGTGACTATCAAACCTATAACTGTTTTATTATAGTATTTCCTTCTATGGCACTGTGTACAAGAGCTTGTGATGAATCTGCTCCTAAACTTGTGAAACTTGTGAAAACAGCCTTGAAGATAATGTCTGTATATCAATTGTATTCAAAATTCCCGCTGTAGAACCTACTCCTAAAAACGTGTCATACCAAGCTCTCCTTACATAGATGTCTGTATATCAATTGTATTCAAAATTCCCGCTGTAGAACCTACTCCTAAAAACGTGTCATACCAAGCTCTCCTTACACTAGATGTCAATTAACAGTATACGTTGTCAGCCATCACCAAAAATTATTCTGAAGTGAATCAATATAGGGATGACAATATGAGAATGACAATGTAGAAAGTGATGAGTTATTTACCATAATGACATATTCAAATGCGGTAAATAGGATAAAAACGAGCGCTGGATCTGACAGATTCAAGCCGCTAGCATAAAGGTAAACCTCGTATAACCTCTTCATAGAAAATAAAATACAGCAAAAAATGCAGCGCTTGAGTGTATAGTAAGGACAATTAATATATATACAACAGACTTAGAAGGGAATACATTAAAAGTATGACGTGCACCAGGTTTAACGTACATAAATTAATGTAAACAGTGGTCGGGTGAGTAATAAAAATTCATCCAATAAACGAAGTGCATATAGTGATAGGGATGTTAGAGTCATTAGATCTGGGGGTACATCCAAGTGCCAATCAAATCCGTGACTTCTGTGATAGGAGAATAGCTGTAAAATGCACTAACCAGATAGCGCAAGAAAAAGCGCATTGGAGTATAATGACCTACTCCTGGTCACAGCCAAATGGTCATCAGCGTAGAGCCCTCAGGAACACCTGTGCACCACTCTTGCCGTCTCCTACCACCAGGGGGAGTGCGCCTCTTTACAGTAACACGAATTTGCCTTATATCCTCTATCGCCAGGGGTGGTGTGCTTTCATATCAGGAGATCACCTTAGGGACTCGGCAATAAGACCCAAAAGAGAGAAATCTTGATAGTGTAGTATTTTTATTCAAGAGATTGGTAAAAAAACAGGTAGCACACTTACATGGTAATGTCCAAAGAAGTTGATTCACAGAATCCAAAAAAGATGGCCGACAGTCAGATGCATGAACCAAGTAGGTAACAAGTGGTATGAGAGGTATGCTTATCCCTATTCAAATGCCATGTACACAACCCATACTGAGTATTCGTAGAAATATAGTCTCCTGAAGGAATCATCTTTATTGGATTCTTTTATAATACAAAAGGAATTTCTTGTCTACAGATGTCACTTGAGTTATTATTATTATTATTGTTATTATTATTATACAGGATTTATATAGTGCCAAGAGTATGCTCAGCGCTTTACAAAAAAAGGGAGACAATACAGCAACAATACAGTTCAATACAAGAGGGCTAGGAGGGCCTGATCCTGGGAGCTTACAATCTAAGAGGAAGGGGCTGGTGGTACAAAAGGTAATAACTGTGGGGGATGGACTGGTAGTATTCGCTTCTGTCCATTATTTAAAAGAAGGTCTATATTTACAAGTCTTGCAAAATTTATTAAAAGGATCAGGGACATCCTTTACAATAGAATTTTTTTTATTAGAAGTAAGAGCACTTAAATGTTACTAAACCCACAACAGTAAAATCAGTCTGTATATGCAGTAAAGCATGCTTGTATATTCACTGTGGAACCTAAAGGGTTAATCCTCTGCATTGTGTTTGATCCTGTCTTCTCTGATTCCCCCCCCCCCTTATTCTACTGTCCCCAATACATCTTCTGATCCTACAGAGCTCTAGGAGTCACCCTGCACATGCACACTTTAGTGTGTATTGCTAGAGAGTTTTTCTTTGGGAGGTGCATGTGATCAGCACAGGGCCAATCAGCACTGTGCAGACAGAGGGTCAGGGGTTATGCAGGCTCATAGGGCAGTCAGAGGAGAATTGAAACTCCTCCTACATGCTTTAACCAGTGCTCAGATGGATACTAATAGAGGTCACAAGACTGCTATATACTGTTGATGAGAAAAGGTATTTAGCAGTTTATATTTACTAAAATAATTACATTTCCATGTTCTGTGTACTGTGGAAGACCAGATATAGTGAATGTGGGGTCCGGAGTAAAACACTTTAAATTAAAAATGTGCTTTACCTGTCCATATCTAACAATATACCTAACTCCATTTATTCCACAAGTCCAATTAGGAATAGGTTTAAATGTACCTGGATGCTTTCCACTGTATTAATATGTGCTCTTGTAAAAAGATTAAGAATCCTTGATGTAACAGCTATAATGCAAACTGCACTAGTATCACTATTAGCTGTTGCTGTGATCTTAAAATTATTCTAAAGGTTTAATTTTTTTTAAAAATAACAAACATGTCTATACTTACATGCTGTGTGCAGTGGTTTTACACAGAGCAGCCTGGATCCTCCTCTTCTTGGATCCCCTGACGGCACTCCTGACCCTTCCCTTCTGTCAGATGCCCCACAGCAAGCGGCTTGTGATGGGGGCACAAGAGCATGCGCTCTCCCAAGCCCCTGCTACGTGTGTCCATTCACACACAGAGCTGCAGCTTGGCCCTGCCCCCTCTCTCTTCTCATTGGTTCATTGGTTGTGATTGACAGCAGTGGGAGCCAATGGATCCTGCTGCTGTCTTAGCCAATGAGGAAAGGAAGTCCCAGGATAGCCAAGACTCCAGTGTACATCGCTTGATTGAGAGGTGGCTTAGGTGAGTTCTAGAGGGGGCTGAGGGGGATGCCGGACAGAGAAGGTTTTTTTAAAAAAAAACCTTGAGCCTTTATAACCAATAATCTTCCCAGGATCAACTAAACAGATTGTGCAGGAGAAAGTACCAGACTACAATGTCAACTTGGAGTCACTCATTCTTCCCCTCTATCTTGTTACTATCAACAAGATTAACAGGATTTGACACATATTATTCCCATAACTGTGTAATCCGTTCTTTTTGAATAAGCAACACAATGTGTTTTTATCCTGTAAATCCTGAGATATAAAATAATTTTCTTGTTCCATACATTCATATTCACCTATATCAGGCAGTTCATGTGTAGTGAATGATGTGCAAATGTCAAATAGGAGAAAAAAAAAATAAAAAGTAAAAAATATATAAAGTATATGACAATTGCATCCCAACTCCTTTTTATTATAATGATCGAATGATCAGAATATCTCTTATGATATAAGTTCATAGAAGCAAATCATTGAAGTCCATTCAGAAACAATAGTGCTTTATAATGCAAATAGGGAGAAACAATGGGAGCAGAAACAAGAGGTAGTGACAAAAAGATGTGGTGTTGTCTCATGGTCATAGTCAAATTCAAGATTCCAGGAAAGGTAAAAGAATATTCTTTAAGTTTAGCAAGAAATTACATGTCTAGGAGGGAAAATAAAAAAAGCAATCAAATCATGATTACATGTTTTGCTTGAGTAATATACATTGATCAATATGGACCATTCTTAGCTCAGAGTCCATTCTGCGTTTCTTTGCAGTTCTTTGAACAAGAACTGTAGTCCCAATCACCTTAAGAATAAGAAAGGGACCTTACCAGTTGGCATCCCAGGTACCTGCTGACCTGTAGTTTTTACCATAACCTGAGCTCCTGGAATAAAATTTTGGATCAACTCATCAGAAGTAGTAGTCTTATCCAAGACATCATTTCTATTTAAATCTAGCAAGGGTCTAGCCATATTTTGTGCAGCAAACCTCTTACGTTCCTGTACCTTTTTGCAATGTTCGCAACCGCACTTTTTTCTGTACAACAGGTTGTAAATGACTAGGTATGAAAATATCAGAAAGAGAGAATAGACATTCTTCGTCCTGTCTTGGAAATTCGCTTTGAACGAATTTCTCCTTAAGAGTACTCGCAGTTGGATGCGCAGAAATCCCCCATAAAGCTGTGCGAATCTCGCTTACCACGACTGCAGCTAAACTACACGATTCCTGCCCCTCCAACTGGGTTAGCTATCTTGAGATGTGGGTAAATGGAGTTTCGGTTACCCAGGAATGATCAGGCGACACTCTCAGGTTGCTGTTGGAATTCACAAAGAGGCGCATCCAACTCCAGCCTCCGATTTTTATTCACAAGCAGACACACGCCCCGCCCCCCCACATGAATAAGGTCAATCCCCTCCCACAGAACAATGCAA